CCCAGGGCCCTGGGATCATGACCTGAGCTGAAGGCAGAGGCTTTAACCCGCTGAGCCACCCAGGTGTCCCTGCTTATCCATTTTTAAAGAATTCTAATAATATGAGAAAATACTCATAAAACAATACTGAGTGAAAAGCAGTGAAACTAAACTATGCTAATGTGTTTGTGCATACACATGCCTAGGGAAAAAAATTACATGAGTAAAAGATTGCTAAAATGGGGCACCTGGGTGGCTCAATTGTTAAGTGTCTGCCTTCGGCTCAGGTCATGATCCCAGGGTCCTGGGATTGAGTCCCACATGGGGCTCCCTGCTCTGTGGGGAGCCTGCTTCTCCCTCTCCCACTCCCCCTGCTTTGTTCCCTCTCTCACTGTCTCTCTATCAAATAAATAAATAAAATCTTGGGAAAAAAAGTATGTTAAAATATAATAATTATCTCTTCATTTTGAGATTTTGAATACTTTTATTTTCATTATTCTTTTAATAGTTTTTCAGTTTTCTTATTAAAGATACTTTTTAGTTTCAAATTTATGTTATATGGTCTTCTTAATGGAGTATTAATAATGAATGTTCTTATTTTGATTCTTTATAGTCAGGTAATTATAGGAAAATAATTTATATGTCTAGTTTTGTCTCTTAAGCCAGTCTGCTGATAGTGTAATGAAATCAATATATATTTGATTTTTACTTCGACTATGTAATAGTAAATTTTATGATAACATATAGTTAATATGTATTATTTATTGTGCAGGACAAGATACTCGAGTTTAATCATTATCATTCAATTCTACTAATTTGTGATTTATTGCTTTACAATTTTATATACATTATTTAACTTTTTTTAAATGCCTTTCCCTAAATTCAATGTTTCTTTACATTATACATATCCATTTCTAACATAAGAACTATATTTAAAAAATCATGTATACTTTCAAATGATTTCATATTTCTGGGTAATGTGTAGTGATGTTAGCAGAGTCTCACTGAATATTAAAATATTTAGGTATTAATTAGTCTTATCCTTTAAATGTTCAGTTTAATTATGTAGGAAATACCTAGCAAATATATACGCACATAGGGAGAGACTGACGTTTGGAATGCCAGTGTGAGGAATACATGACCCTATTCTCCCCAAAAAGGAAAAAAAGTTACTGACCACACAGCTAATATCAACCATTTCAGAACTCTAGAAACTAATCAAAGCCACAGAATGGAGTATGTTGTCTGTCCAAGAGGAACTACTAATCCTCAATAAAACTACAGGGTCTGTCACACTTTAATCTGGGGCTATTCCCACCCAAGCTCCCTTCTCTACTGAGTGGTACGGCAATGCAGCTGCCATGAAAAGCCAGTAGTTCACAGTCAGTAAACAGGACTGACTGAATTAAAATTCCCATCCCCAAAACACAGTATTTTATCTAAACTAGCAACTCCCTGGAAAATCCCCATTCTTAGGATGTTAGGGCTATTTTATTTGACTTGGAGTTCAGCCCAGCAGTAAAACATAAAATTAAAAAAAAAAAAAAGAAAGAAAAGAAAACTATCCCCCAGGGCATTACAAAAAACAACAATCATCTGCTGGCAAAATCTAAGCCACCTAAGCCTAAAATTTCAGGTGTAGTGAAACAAGAGCCTGGCCAACTATAAAAGGAAGTCCTCAGTGACTAGGTAACCATAGGCAACTTTCCTAAAGTCCAGTATATTCATGGGGATCTAGACTGCTGTCAACATGTCCAGAAAGGAAACTACTTCATTCAGATATTTAGCTTGCATATACTACCTTGAGGCCCTGCTCAAGCAAGAAATGAAAGCTAAAGCTATTCTATAAACTCCTTGAAGTTTGAGGACATGCTTCCTCACACAAATCCTCCAGACAAAATGTAAAAGACATACAGACAACATTTCTAAGGAAATCTTGTGTACCAGCCATTGGTTATACTGATGCAAATATGCCCCCTAGGAAGTCAGAGTGAAGACAAAAATAAGAAAAGAAAAGAACTTTGTGGCAGGGAATGCAAAACCTATAGAATTCATCCAGGAAAGTCACTAAACAAATGAACACCAATAACAACAAGGAAAACCAACAAATCCTTAAAGGGAGATGGCTGATACTATAGTTGTTATAAGAAGTCCACTTTCAACACAAATTATAAGATATGCAAAGAAACAGAAAAGTATGCCACAAACAAATTTAAAAAAATAAATAAATAAAAACAACAGAAAATGTGCCCAAAGATATTGGACTTCGTTAACAAAAACTATAAATCAGCTATTATAAATATGTTCAAAGAACTAAAAGAAACCAAGATTGAAGAATTAGGGGCAAGTATGATAACTATGTCTCACTAAATAGAAAATGGAAATAAGGAGATAAAGATCATTTTCAAAAATCAAATAGAAGGGCACCTGGGTGGTTCAGTGTGTTAAGTCTCTGCCTTCGGCTCGGGTTGTGACCTCAGTGTCCTGGGATCGAGCTCTGCATCAGGCTCTCTGCTTAGCGGGGAGCCTGCTTCCCCCACTCTCTCTCTGCCTGCCTACTTGTGATCTCTCTCTCTCTGTCAAATAAATAAATATTTTTAAAAATCAAATGGAAATTCTGGAGGTGGAAAAATCGTAACTGAAGTGAAAAATTCAGTAGAAGGCTTAATAACAGATTTGAGTTGACAAAAGAATAAGCACACTTGAATACAGACCAAATCTCCGCATACAGAGTATACAGCCTGGGTTTCAGGAAAAAACTTCAGAGGGGTGCCTGGGTGGCTCAGTTGATTGAGTGTCTGACTCTTGGTGTCGGCTCAGGTCATGATCTCAGGGTTGTAAGATTGAGCCCTGCATTGGGCTCTGTACCCAGCAGGGAGTGTTCTTGAGATTCTCTTTTTCCCTCTCCTTCTGCCTGTAGACCCTCCACCAACATATGTATAGGGGATTCTTAGAAGGAAAAGAGAAAAGGAGGCAAAATAAATATCTGAAGCAATAATAAAAATATCTGAAGCAATAATGACTGAAGCCACCCAAATTTGATGAAAAATATTTATCTGCTCATCTAAGAAGCACAGCCAATTTCAGGGAGAATAATTTAAGGAGATCCACACATAGTCAAACTGTCAAAAAAAAAATTAAAAAAAAAAACAAAGAGACTATTGATAGCAGCAAGTGAGATGCTACTTTCCACATCCAACAGAGCCTCAATAAGTTTAATAGCTGACTTCTCACCAAAAAACCATAAAAGCCAGAGGGGGGGTGACATATTCAAAGTGCTAAAAGAGGAGGCGGAATCTGTCAGTCAGGAATTCTATATGTGGTAAACCTATCCTTCAAAAATGAAGAAATTTAGACATTCCTAAATAAACAAAACAGTTCATCTCTAGTAGACCAACCCTAGAAGAAATGCTGAACTGCAAGGACAACCGGACAGTAGTTCAAATCCACACAATTAAGTAAAAAACACTAGCAAGATTATAGATAAACATAAAATATGGTAGTGCCTCATTTCCTATATGATTTAAAAGACAACTATATAAAGTGATCATTATGAACCTGTGTTGATGGGTAGACAATGTATAAAAATATGATTTGTATAGTTAGAGCACAAAGGAAGGGGGACACCAATAGCTATATTGGAGCAAAGTTGTTATTTGCACTAGGAATTAAGTTTTGTATTTTAGTTAATATGCTAACTATAATCCCCATGGCAACCATGAAGATAATAATTCAAAAAAATAGAAAAAAAAATAACTGGGGAATTAAAACGGTACACTAGAAAACATTTAACAAAGCAACAATAGAGGAATAGAATTAAAAAGACCTAAGACAGGGCACCTGGGTGGCTCAGTGGGTTAAAGCCTCTGCCTTCGGCTCAGGTCGTGATCTCAGGGTCCTGGGATCGAGACCCACATCGTGCTCTCTGCTTAGTGGGGAGCCTGCTTCCCCCTCTCTCTCTGCCTGCCTCTCTGCCTACTTGTGATTTCTGTCTATCAAATAAATAAATAAAATCTTTTAAAAAAAATGACCTAATACCTGTACAGAATCAGTAGTAAATGGGAGATATAACTCCTACCTTATCAGTAATTACATTAAATGTAATTGGAACAAACACTCCTTTCAAAAGGCAGAGATCCTTAGAATGGATAATCATATATGAAACAATTATGTGCCATCTACAAGAGACACTTTAAGTACAAAGAAAGTACAGAAAAGTTGAGGGGCACCTCAACTGACCTTTAACTAGACTAAAAGACTCAAATTACTAAAATCCAAAGTGAGAGAGGATACTACTTACCACCCTTCACAGAAATAAAGAGGTAGCTGCACATATATACAGCCAATAGCAACTCAACGTCATTAGTCATTAGGAAAATGCAAAAAAAGCCACAATGTGGTATCACTTCACAACCACTGGAATGACTGTGATCAAAAAGACAGATAAAGTGTTAGCAAGGATGTGGAAAACTTGGAACTTTCATATAATTGGTGGGAATAGAGAATGTGCAAATATTTTGGAAAACATAAGTTGACACGGACACTAGTGTGCACACAGCAGCATTATTCATAAAAAGATCACACATGTATGACTATATCCATATGGATCTCCAGAAGAGGCAAATCTAGAGAAAGTAGATTAGTGGTTACCCATAGCTGAAAGAGTAAGGGTTAGAAATAGGATTAACTGCTAATGGGAATGGGGTTTCTTTGTTGGGTGATGAAAATATTCACAATTTGTGGTTATGGTTCAACAACTTTTTTAATACTCAAAACCACCACTTATACATTTTAAATGGGTGATGTTTATGGTGTGTGAATTATATCTCAAAAAGCTGCTTTCTTTGAAAAGTGAACCATTAATGGTAATGAACCAGACATTCCATTTCACATTTTTATCCTTAAAGAATTAAGTTTTGGCACCTAAATTGTTAACATTTTAACATTTTATCATTTAACATTTGATGAGAGCAATGTTTACAAAGATCCTTTTTTTTTTTTTTTTTTTTTAATAAATTTAGCTGGACAACTCAGCCAATCTGCACATTTAGCCCTCCAACTACCATACAATGTACTTGGTTTAGGTCGAAGTGCAAATTTTCTTGATCATCTGTATGTTGGCATTCCCCGTCCATCTGGAGAGAAGGTGAGTAAAAATTTATTGTGTTTACAATTAATCTGTCTTAATAAATACTATTCACATATCTAAATTCAACTATTTGAATTCAGTTGAATTTGAATCCAAATAATTAAATCTTTTTTAATCTCTTTAAGGAGAATATAGAAAAAGAGAAATAAATAGTGACCTATCTAAGCTTATCGTACATAGAACACAGCATAATTTAAAGATACAGTTTTCCACCACGTTTCATAAACCTCCTGACCTCCAGTCCCTCTTTCCTGCTTTTTCTCTTCATCTTCACTATCTAACATAAAATACATTTTATTGTATTTCTTGTCATACCTCACCTCCACTTGAATTTTAGCTTCAAGTAGCACTTGTACATTAGCACTGTGAACAGTGCCTGCTACACTTTCAATAAATATTTACTAAATTAATGAATCTATGAGACAAATATAATCCTTCCCTGAAAAGATCAAAAAAAATTTTGCCAGCAGGGCCCAGGAGCCCTGTTTGGGGCTTAATATATATATAAATTTAGCTTAATCCATACCTAGGATTTCAATTAATTAAGGAGCACTTAAGCTTTTTTCTTATTTATTTAGAATAATAATTCTGTTTTTAAAGTATACTAGATGTTAATTGTTCTTAAATTCTTTTTCCAGTCTATACGAAAACAAGAGTGGACTGCAATCATTCCAAATTCCCAGCTAATTGTCATTCCATATCCTCACAATGTTCCTCGAAGGTAATGTCCTTGCTTGAACTGATCTTGGTAAAAATACTGTCAACTGAGAATCATTGGTACAGTTACATGTTTTTAAAACTCTCTCTGCTCCTGCTGTGTTCCCATGAGTCCCATCACTTTAAATGACTAAACATTCCCACATAAAAGGTCCCTGATTTTTTTTATGAAGAACAAATTAAACCTTACTAGAAAAACAGCAAATTAACTAATTAGGGATTTATACATATTCTGCTTCAATGAACTGATCTTTAGTTTACTAGCTATAAATTCTAAAATTTCAGAATGCTGAATTTTTTAATAAGCATTGATCTTTCAAATAAATGCTTGGGAAGTGTATATGTCCCATAGTGGTTAGGCATAAGTTTTAGAGTCAAACAGACCTTGGCTAGAAACTAAGATCTACTGCTGAGGGTCAGTCTCTGCACCTGTAAAGTGGGAGATAGATAGATAGGTACCTTAAAAGGATGTAGATGAAATACACTTAAGACAGTGCCCAGCACCGAGTAAGTTTTCACTGAAAAGTGAAAACTTTTTTTTTCCTTATTAGCAAAATATATTCCTTTTATATGAATAGCGTTTAAGTCTAACTCCTTATCTTTGTTCAGTTTTCTTTAATTACTAGAGTGATTCCACTATTTTTAAAAAGTAGGTGATAAAGGTATTGACTAACACTCAAATTTCACTGGGAAGACTATAAATTGTTCTTAAGGCTAGTCTAATATCAATATGAAAAAATAACCAAAGAGAAAGGGTGTAATGTATCTATGAATATGTAACCAGTGAGGTCCTGCTTTGTTATATTTCTTCTCAAAATGGAGGCTGTATTGTTACTTACTAAATTTTTAGATGGAATTGAATACAATGATTTGCTAGAACCAGTTCATGCCAGCTCATGAGCTGATTATATACATCTAAAATTTTATACACTAAAATCAGCTATGATGGGAGTATTTACAACATGAAAATTGGCAACTGCCAATTAGGTCTTTTTCCCCACCCCAGAGAGCCAGTTTACCAGCATACCACAGGATGTCTCTTATGGTGGATTTAAGGGCTTTAGAACCAAACTACTTAAGAAAACAATTTATTACAACATTTGCTTGAAATAAGATAACATCAGTAGAGGGGCACCTGGGTGGCTCAGTCAATGGAGCACATGACTCTTGATTTTGGGGTTGTGGGTTCCGGTCCCATGTGGGGTATAGAGATTATTTAAAAATAAAATATTTTTTTAAAAAGACAATATCACTAGAAACAATAATAGTCTGAGTTCAGATTTTTTTTAATGACTATTATGTGTTTGTTATTTTTCTATACATGAAATTTATAACAAAACTAGAAAATCTGTATCATGAGTAGGAAAATGTATAAATTATGGCACTTCTGGATGTTGTAATATCATGACATAGAACAATCTCTTAAAATAGAGTGTTAAACAAAAGACAATAAAAGGAAAATGCATTTTAGAGTATGTATAGTAAGAAACCATTTGTGATTTGAAAAAGATACATGTGCATATATCTCTATATACATATAAAACGTCTCTAGGCGGATATGTAAGAAATTGATAAGAATGACTGCTTCTGAGTAAAAAATTAAGGACTGGCCTTTCATCCAATTTTTTTCTTACCAAGATTCCTATTTTCATGGTTTTTTAAAGTCTATTGAAGGAGAACTACCAAAAAATCTCATGAAAGAACTTTTTTTTTTTTTTAAGTATGAGGTAAGGTACTGAGAATAGTTAACCTCAACTAACAGTGTTTGTTTCCCTAGTTTTTTTACTTTTGAATTTCTAGAAAATTCTATTATAGTTTTCTTTTATAATCTCAACATTTTTCATGTTTCTCTTGCTCTTTCTGAAGAAATGTTCTTTTCAAATTTATGTACATAATAAAAACTGAATTGATTTTAGTTTGAGGTATATTTTGAGATTTATTGACTAGAGGCTAACCTACGGATCAATAAATTTTAATTATCCCAAAATAAGTCAATCGCTACTTGCTATTCATCAGTATGATCTTACTTTTATTAAACTTTTAAAATGAAAATAGGCTGAATGGATTAAAAAACAACACCCATCTATATTCTGCCTACAAGAGACTCACCTCTTGTGATGTAAAGACAAGCAGAGACTGAAAGTGCAAATGGAAACCAAAAGAAGCTGGGTAATTGTACTTACATCAGACTAAAATAGAATTTAAAACAAAGACTATGATAAAAGACAAAGAAGGGCATTACATAATAATACAGGAGTCCATCCAACAAGAGGATATAACAATTGTAAATATTTATGCACCCAACACAGGAGCACCTTAATATATAAAGCACCCATTAACAGACCTAATGGGAGAAATTGACAATAATGCAATAATAGTAGGTGACCTTAAAATGAAAATATATCTATTACCTATTTTCAGAGAGAACAGAATTCTTTGTATATAACCACCTACAGTGTTGATGATATTAGACCCCAATTTTAAGCTTTTCAAGGTATCCAAGTGCTGTATTATATGGACTATTTTAAAAGAAAGAGCTAGTTCTATTTATACTAAAGTCTGTCTATTGCCATTAACACTGAGGTACTAAAAGTGATTTTTTTTTTTTTTTAAGATTTTAATTTATTTGACAGACAGAGATCACAAGTAGGCAGAGAGGCAGGCTGGAGTGGGGGGTGGGGGACAGGCTCCCTGCTGAGCAGAGAGCCTGATGTGGGGCTTGATCCCAGGATCCTGAGATCAGGATCTGAGCCAAAGGCAGGGGCTTAACCCATTGAGCCACCCAGGTGCCCCTAAAAGTGATTTTGTAAGAAGTCTCAACATCATTGTAGTAATGTAAACCCTCCAACATGACACAGAAATGATACAAGTGTTTTTACACAAGCCATCTCACTACACCCACTGAGATATATGGCTGTTTTAGTTGTCATAGTACCTGTGTAAACAGGGGTCAAAAAACAAGATGATAGATCTTATCAAAATCATGTAACTGTGTAGCCTTAGAGTCAAGGTTTCAAATTCAGCAGGTAAATTAAGATGTAAAAACAATGTCTAAGATTGTCCTAAGTGTCCTTAATAAGTTTACTTAAAAATAATTCTCATGGGATCAAAGAAAAATAATGAAGCATCTCATCAAAAATTCTATCCAGTTCTCTTGAGTAAAATCTGAACTCTGCAGGATCATCAATATTCTTAGCCCTATCTAAATTTAATTGCTGTTGTTTATTTATAGTGAATGGATAGATGGGAAAATGAATTAATGGATGAATCAACTGATTCATTAATTAATAGCTATTTGCTTTTCAGTCTTAGTAGAATTTTATTATTTTTCAGTTAAAATGTGTAATTTTAATGATTCTTTTTTATCTGCAGCTGGAGTGCCAAACTGTATCTTACACCAAGTAACATTGTTCTACTTACTGCTATAGCTCTCATCGGTGTCTGTGTTTTCATCTTGGCAATAATTGGCATTTTACATTGGCAGGAAAAGGTTTGTTCATTTAAATGAAAGATTAACTGTTGTTAATTTATATTAGTAATATATTGCTCTTTAAAAACACTGTATTTTAAACTTTCTTCAAATGACTAAGATTTTGTGATTTTCCACATTCTATCCATAATGTCCTCTTATTGATTATAATTTCTTTCATCTCTTTAAGTTATTAATGTCTCTCAGCAATTCATACAAATCACAAGAAATTAATTTAAAACGTCAATGCTGTATAATAGTAATAAAATGATCACCCAGAAATTACCGGGTGTATTGAAAAACTTAGAAATAATTTCATGAAGGCCTGAAAAATGATAATTTTTTTTAATAAGCCTGTGTTTATTATCTACTGATAAAGCCATGAACACGTTTTTTCCAGGAATAACATCTATGGCTATATAAAGAATTAGAGCACAGAAAGGTTAAATGATTTTCTCAAGGTTTGGGTGGAAGGTAACAACTAAAGTAATAAACATCTTTTCCATCTATAAAGTATGCTTTGTACTAAACATTTTTTTCTTTAGTATCAACCCTAAATAATAATTAAAAACAATAGTCCAAGTGTAGATTTTTTTATACAGTGTTTATGAGGAGGAAAAAAGAGGCTATCACATAAATTTACCAGCAGTTTAGATATAAATTGAAAAAACTAATTTCTGTGAAAATGTGAATATGAATTAAGTACATGAATTAATATGAATATATATTAAAGCATATAACTAGCAGTTTCCAGCAGTGTTCCCAAAAAAGGGCTTCTTCGTCCCATAAAAGTGTTTTCTTTTGGATTGTCTTTGGATTGTCATGTCCATCATAATAATTTTTTGGTAACTAAATTTACTGTGAATTTTAGCTGTTTTAACTTAGGAAAAAGAGATCTTAATTGTGATAAATGTCCATAGGTTTGTCTCTTCCTAAAAAATTACTCCTTTATACATCAAAAATGACAACAGAAACTTATAAAGTCAGTTAATTTTAAGATTGCAACTTAAGACATAAAATAAAGGATGATGCTACATACTTTTGTCCAGAAGTGTCAGAACATAGTCTGAAGTACTACATAGCTCTAGACCTATAAGGGAAAGTAAATTAATTTTATTAATTTCTCAGATCATCTGATTATAGTGTAAACATTGTGGACTTAAAATAATAATGATGCAGTGGCTAAAAATTGAAGTTTAAATACAGATACGGGTTCAACCATGTATACTCTCCTGTGATACTATGGTTCGTCTCCTACCTCTTTGACCACTTCTCTTTCACCTAGCTGGGTGCTCCTTTCTACCATTTCCTAACCACAGTGTGTCTGCCCTAAGCTGTCTTCTTTCTACACTTTTCCTGCCAGTTTTATCCAAAACCACAGTTTCAAGGTATTACCTCAAATATCCCTAACACTCATCTGTCCCTAAAGTTCTCTTAGCCCATTTCCAGCTGTCTCCATGACATCTCTACCTAGATCACTTACAAGCACCTTAAAACAAATATTTTAAAGCTTTGTCTCTCTGCTTTCCTACTTACCTATAAAATTTGATCAGTTTCCCTCTGATTCTGCTTCCATGACGATCCATGCAGCTGACTCCATTTCTGCATTTCTACTCCCAGGGCTTTAGGTTCAGCTCCTTGTCCTGTCCAGTCCTGCCCTACCTCCCTGAATCCATTCTCTCTCTTTTTGCTCCATTGATCACATTGCTGCCATCTAACTCATCATCAGATTTAGCCTTAGTCATGTCACTCCTCTGCTCAAAAATCCCTGCCTAAAATGTGTCAACTCCTTAGCCTAGCCTTCATAGAACTTCCATGTGACTCCACCATATACCTTCCCAACCTTGCTTCTTACCAGCTGCTTTTCACATATTCTCTCCTCCTGCCCAACTTCCATGATTGCACCTGTTCTACCCCCGCTTGGAAGGAGTGCCTCTCCCGCTCCATTTCCATAAACACCATCTTTTCAAAGCTTTCTCTTTCCTCACTCCAACCTAGAAGTAATGTCTCTCCAAGAATATTAGTGACAGTTTTCACTTTTTTCCCTGAAATACAGTTATTCAATATGTTTTGGTTTTTTCTTTAAGTTTTTTGAGAACACGATACAAAACTGAGGATTTTTTTAATCCCTCAAAATACAAAGCCCAGTACTTTGCTGGGAGTTGAGGGTCAGTGAATATATACTAAATCAATAGATTAAGGCCAAAATAACTAATGTACCTTACCTAGATTCATTTATTAATATTAGTGCTTATAATGGGAAAAATATAGTTCCATCCTTGTAGAATCTAATATTTACTACTACTTTCAAATAAATAATAAATGATAACAAACTAAGTATTTAAGGAATATTTCTTATTTGTTTTTAAAATTAATTAGTGGGTTATTAATTATAAAATAGCTACTGTAAACTAAAATTTCATGATTATTATGTAATAAAATCACATCTTTTATCTACTATTTGCTTAGAGATTTGTTTTTTTAATTACTTTATATTTCAGAAATGAGTGTTTTCTTGACATTTTCCTGTTATTTATAAACTAATCTAAAATTCTTTTTCAGAAAGCAGATGATAGAGAAAAACGACAAGAAGCGCATCGGTTTCATTTTGATGCTATGTGACTTGTCTTTAATATTACATAATGGAACGGTTATTCACTTGATTAATTGAAACACTAAATTTGGCTAATAGAAGAAAATAAGAGATTTTGAGTATTATTTATAAATGATGTATCCTTTGGTAATTATTGAAAAGTATTCAAATAAATATGGTCTGAATGTGTCACAAGGTCTTTTTTTAAAGCACTTTGTATACAATAATTTGGGTTATTTAAATGTGCTGTACATTTTTGTTACTTTGTGGAATGTGTTGCATGTACTCAGGTGTTTCTGTATTTATAATATTACTAGAATAATGATGATGGGAAAAGACATGTATAAATAAAAATAAATGAGCAGGGATTTTTGTGTTCCACTTGAATTGGTCTTGCTTCTTATTCTAACAGTACAAATTACGCCTTTGTGAATGTTACACAGATAACGTTATTTCACCTTAGTCATAGCAGGTGACGACACACGGGCTAGAGCTTAGATTCTCTGGCTTTGGAATTGCAGTCCAGCGGGCTTGCCTTAAATTCCTGGTTCAACCACTTCCAAGCTGTTTGAATTTGGTTGTCAACCTCTGTGAGCCTAAGTTTTCTTGATTACAAATGGGGCTAGTAATACTACTCAGCTTGGGTTTGTAAACATCAGATGGGATGATGGATGTGGAGTGCTTAGCTTGGTGCCTAGCACAGAGTTAGTTAACTGCTCAATAAGTGGCACTTGTCATGATTACTATTATTAGTTTTTTTTTTTTTACAAACTTCTAAAACTAATTATCAAAATATATAGACTCAATAGAATGTAATTTTCAAGCATGAGGAAATCATATTCTTTGGGAAACCTAAATTCTTAGTGGTTGGCATCTTATATGACAATTTATTACTTGCTTATATTAACTAAAAATTATAGTACCCTCCAAGAATATGCACTAAAATTTTTCATTTCAACACTGATCGTTATCATGTGATAATGAAGAACATTTGATTTCTTGAAAGGAAACTGCTATAGATAGCATCTAAGAATGCAAATCTTAACCACATTTTTATGCTCAAAAGCATAGAGTCTCTAATTTACATTCAGACTTCAGTGCAAATTTTTGTGAACTTCACCTCACCAAAAAGCTACTTTAAGACTTAAATCTAAGACTGGGAAAAGTTTATTATCAATGTTAATTTTCTAATATGCAATGGACATGTGATGGCTATAAAACACAAAAACTTACCTAATTTTGTTCTTCGTGTTATTTTTTTTCTTTACAGTTCATTGAGAATGGCATGTGTATAAGTGGTTTACTTTGTGTATCTGAGCATGTTAATATGTCTCCTTAATAAATACTGTGTATTGAAACAAAGTATTTTGGTGAGTTTGTAAATATTTTTTAAGTATAAAGTCTAAATCACTTATCTGCACCATGAGACAAAGGTAAAGTGACTCACCCATTGCCTCCTTGTGAGTTCACGCAAGATAGGAATCCCCTGACTACAGTACTCCCTTACTTTACGAAACAGTTATCAACAGCAACACTGCCAGGCACACACTAACCTAAAGACTGTTAGGCTGAGTATCTCTCAAATAATACAGCATGAGTTCTAAAACTCACTTGGAGTCAGGATCTATGAGGAGTATATTATAAGCCAATAAAATGTTAGAAAAAAAGAAAAAGAAGAAAAATGAATACTTCACAACTCCTTTAATAAGGTTAATAATTCCTAATACTAATACCCAGTACATTACAGGAAAACTACAAACCAATATTCCTCATAACATAGCTGTAAAAATCCTCAACAAAACATTAGCAAATTGTATCCAGAAATATAAAAACAGATAATATGTAATGACCAAGTGGGTTTCATCCAGAATGCAAAACTAATTTCACTATTTGAAGGGGGAAAAGCAGTATTACTCACCATATTAATAAATCAGAAAAACCACCTTTTATCTTCTCAATAGACACAGAAAGAAAACTTAAAAAATGTAACATCCATTCCTGATTTTAAAAAAAAAAAAATCTAGACAAACTATGACTAGAATTTCACTAACTGTAAAAGGCATTTTCTTTAAGAATCTGCAGCTAAGGGGCGGCTGGGTGGCTCACTGGGTTAAGCCTCTGCCTTCGGCTCAGGTCATGATCTCAGGGTCCTGGGATCGAGCCCCACATTGGGCTCTCTGCTCGGCAGGGAGCCTGCTTTCTCCTCTCTCTGCCTGCCTCTGTCCCTACTTGTGATCTCTCTCTTTCTGTCAAATAAATAAACAAAATCTTAAAAAAAAAAAAAAATCTGCAGCTAACAACATACTTAATGGTGAGAGACTGAATGCTTTCTCCCAATGATTAGGTACAAGAAAAGGATGTCCTCTCCCATGGTTACTTTTCCACATAGTACTAGAAATCTTAACTAAAGCAATAATCCAAGAAAAGAAAAGGCATACAGATTGGAAAAGAAGAAATAAAACTATCCCTATTAGTAGATGCAAGTGTGTCTAGAAAATTCCCAGGAATCTATACACACACACACACACACACACACACAAAATACATCCTAGAACTAAGTGAATTTAGCAAGTTTAGCAGGACACAAGGTCAACACAATCATTTAATATATAAACATAATGAGCAATTGGAAATAGAAACTTTTAAAATACTTTTTAAAAGGGACACAATAATGAATTTTTTTAAGATTTATTTATTTATTTAAGAAAGGGAAAGAGAGAAAGAGAAAGAGCACGCAAGCAGGGGGAGGTGCGGAGGAAGAGGGAGCCCAATGCCAGGTTTGATCCCAGGACCCTGAGATCATGACCTGAGCCAAAAATCAAGAGTTGGCCGCTTAACTGACTGAGCCTCCCAGGGGTCCCTGAAATTCTTATGTAGAACTATAATGAAGCATGCATGGAATTTGTATGCAGAAAATTACAAGATGCCAACAAAAAATCAAGGAAGACTTGAATGTAAAGACCCTGTGTTCATGGATTGGAAGATTCAACCTAGTAAAAATGTCAACGTTCCACAAAGGGATCTAAAGATTTAATGCCATCCCTATCAAAATCCCAGCAGTATTTTTTGTAGCTATAGACAAGATGATTCTAAAAATTTATATAAAAGAGTGAAGGAAGTAGAACAGCTTAAAATTATTTTGAAAAAGAAGGCAAAGCTGGAGGAATCAAACTGATTTTAAAACTTCCAGTGAGTCCTTATAATAAAGTTATAGTAACCAAGATAGTATGGTATTGACAAAAAGATAGACACATAGAGCAATGACAATAGAACAGAATAGAGGATCGAGAAAAAAACCTACACAAATAAAGCTATTTGATCTTTTATACTTTTGTAAAAGTGATTCAGTGGATGGCAGTCTTTTCAACACATAGAGTTAGTTAGAACAATTGGCCAAATACAGGCAAAGGAAAAAAGGAGCTCAATCTAAATCTCACACCTTCTATGACAAATTAACAAAAATGGATCATAAACTAGGGCACCTGGGTGGCTCATTTGGTTAAGCATGCAACACTTGGTTTCAGTTTAGGTCATAATCTCAGGGTCGTGAAAGCGCAGAGCCTGTGTAAGATTCTCTCCTCCCTCTGCCCTTTTCCCCCATGCTCGCTCGCTCTCTCTCAATAAGTAAATCTTTTTTAAAAATAGATCATAAACGTAAATGTAAAACATAAAACTATAAGACTTTTAGAAGAAAACATAGAAGAATATCTTCATGAACTTCATGAATATTGTCATGAGTTAGGCAAAAAGTTCTTAGAAATAACACCAAAAGTATGATCCATAAAAGAAAATATTGATAAATTTGACTTCTAAATTAAAGACATTTTCTTTGCCAAAGCCACTTTCAAGACTATGAATAGACAAGCTGCATATGGGAAGAAAATATTTGCAAATCACATCTCCATCAATGGGCTTATATCCAGAATGTATAAAGAATTCTTAAAAGTCAGCAGTACAGTGGTGCCTGGGTGGCTCAGTGGGTTAAGCCTCTGCCTTCGGCTCAGGTCATGATCCCAGGGTTCTGGGTTCAAGCCCCGTATCGGGTTCTCTGCTCGGCAAGGAGCCTGCTTCCTCCTCTTTCTCTCTCTCTGCCTGCCTCTCTGCCTACTTGTGATCTCTGTCTGTAAATAATAAATAAATATAAATAAATAAATCTTTTTTTTTTTAAGTCAACAGTACATAACAATCCAGTTTAAAAGTGTGCAAGTACTGGGACATGTCACTAAAAAAGATATACAAACGGCAACTGATGAAGAGATACCACACACCATTAGCTGTTAGGTGAGTGAATATTAAAATCATGAAGAAATACAATTACACACCTACTATAACAGCTAAAACAAAAAATATTGACAATTCTAAGTGTTGACATGGATGAGGAATGGAAGCAACTGGAATTCTCATACTTCTGATAGGAAAGCAGAAGTGGTAAGACCACTCTGGAGAACAATTTGGTGGTATCTAAAATCAACTGCATTTTTATATATGAACAAATTGGATACAAAATGGATTTTAAAACAGGTAATAAACTCATCAAAATCAGCTACCCATGAACAACACAAAACGTATCACATCTCTGCAGGGTCAATTATAAAACTTTCTTCAGAAAATTAAGACGTCTTCAACAAATGTACATTTATACCATGTTTTTGGACAGGATGACAAAGTATTGTAAAGATGTTAAATCATCCCTACTCTACTCAATATCCCAACAGAGTTTTGTTGTAGTAGCTGCTAAACTTGGTAAGCGGTTTCTAAAATGTATACAGAAAAACAAAAGGCCAAGGATAGCCAAGACTATCTTGAGAAAGAACAAGACCAAGGTCTGTCAGCTATCAAAACTTAATTTAAAGTTATAATGATTAATGCAGTGTAGTATTAGTGAAGAGACAAATGGATTCCAAACCTAAATGTGCAATGCAAATTTATAAGCTTTTAGTATTTAATATACATAAATAACTTCATGATCCTGGGGTAAGGATGGGTTTCTTATTCAGGTCACTAAAAGCACTAAAGGGAAAATTCTTTCTATACAGGAGCGTATTAAAATTAATAACTTCTGTTCATCACAAACACTATTGAAAGGATGAAAACAAGTCATAAAATGAAAGAAAATATTTCAACACACATAACTGATTAGTTATACAAAATAGAGAAATTCTATAAAATTATTTTAAAAGACAGCCCAGCAAAAAATGGGCAAAAGTTTTGAATAGGTCATTCACTAAAAAAGGAAATCCAAGTAGCCAATAAATATATAAAAAGATGTTCAAATTTGGGAAATGCAAATTAAGCAAACAAATAATCAGAAATAGATTCATAAATACAGAGAACAAATTAGTGGTTGCCTGATGGGACAGGCAAATAGGTGAAGGGGATTAAGAGAT